AACTTGCCATGGCGGGGCGCTCATCTTTTCCGCGATTTTTGTTCAGGGGGTACAGCGGACAGAAACGCGTCCTAAGCTGAGCAGCGCGCTGTTTAAACCAACAGTTTTAGAGCAGGGTGTGCGAGAGGAGAGAGACAGAGACACATCTTAGCCACGCAACGTCTAAACCAGGTGTGCCCAACCAGTCGCTCGCGGGCGACTGAAGCCTTGACTTGTATTCTCACAGACATAGTCTCGCGAGTTTTGGGTGCGAGCTGGTTCCCAGTCGCCCGCGAAGCGAAGCCTTGACTTGTATTCTCACAGACATAGTCTCGCGAGTTTTGGGTGCGGTGACACAGCGCTCTCACGAGACTTTAGGCTCAGTAGTTAAGGTCGGTGCGCAGAAAACATGGATGGAAAACTAGCGAACAAGCAAACGAAAACTTATTATTTTCACACAGAGTGGGAGGAGGAGTATTTTTTTGTTTATTCTAATTCGAAGTCCATTTGCCTCATCTGTAATTCGAGCGTTGCCTTACCCAAAAAGTGTAACTTGGAGCGGCATTTCAAGACGATGCACAAACGGTTTGAGACAGATTTCCCTCTTAAAAGTTCTTTACGGACTCAGAAAGTGCTGGAGCTAAAAAACAAGCTTGCAGCCCAGCAATCAGTCTTCACTCGGCCCAGCACAAAAGGTAAAGCTGCTACGATAGCTTCCTACCGTGTTAGCCGCATCCTGGCTCAACATAAGAAGTCTTTCAGCGATGGACAAGTTATGAAAGAAGCGTTTATTGAGGCTGCAGATGCGCTTTTTCATGATTTTAAAAATAAAAGTGAGATCGTAGCTGCTATTAAAGACGTGCAGTTGTCCAGACAAACAGTGACACGGCGATGTGAGGGAATGGCTGTGGATGTGGAGGAGCAGCTAAAAAAGGACGTGGAACAATGTGAGTGTTTCTCTCTTCAGTTTGATGAGTCGACAGACATGGTGGATGTAGCCCAGCTGTGTGTTTTTATCAGAATGGCCTTTGCAGACATGAGTGCAAAAGAGGAGCTGCTCACCATCTTGCCTTTGAAGGGACACACAAGAGGAGAAGATATTTTTAATGCGTTTATGGAGTTTGTTAATAAAAGCAACTTGCCCCTCTTTAAACTAATTTCTATAACTGATGGCGCTCCAGCAATGACTGGTCACACCAGTGGATTTGTTGCACTCTGCAAGCAGAATGATGCTTTCCCAGACATTTTGCACTATCACTGCATCATCCACCAACAGGCCCTGTGTGAGAAGATTTTAAACATGAAGGAAGTGATGGATGTTGCCATGAAAACTGTGTGCTCTATAAGGGCCAGGAGTCTGCAGAGGAGGTTGTTCCAGGCTCACTTGGAGGAGGCAGGAGCAGACCACACAGACCTGCTGCTGCACCTGGACGTCAGGTGGCTAAGCAGAGGTAAATTTCTGGACAGATTCAGTGAGCTGTTGCCTGAGATCAGGGATTTTCTGAAGCTGTCAGATCATGGTGAACATTCAAAACTAGAGGACACCCAGTGGCTTTTGGATTTAGCCTTCCTCACAGATCTCACCAGCCTGCTCAATGAACTGAATTTGGAGCTTCAGGGAAAGGACAAAAACATAATCCACATGATCAGTTCTGTGAGCACCTTCAAAAGCAGGCTGCAACTGCTCACAAGTCGGCTGCAACGCAGGGACCTGCGAAACTTCCCACACATGGAGGCAGAGCTACAGCGCCAAGGGAAAGAGGTCCCACAACTGGACAGTGCACACTATTCTAAGCAGGTTCAGAGCATCTCAGCAGAATTTGAGAGACGATTTACTGACTTTTCCTCCATCGAGCCTGTTACCAGCTACATGTGTTATCCTTTTGGAAATGTTGATGTGGATGACATTGTGTCCAAATTGGTGTCCGTGTTTCAGCTGGACAGCTCTGGTGTTGAAAATGAGGTGTTGACTCTGCAAAATGACATTGGGATCAAATCCAGAGCATCACCTGGCGTGGATGGAGAGTTCTGGAGTCTGCTGTCAGAAGAAAAGTATCCTAACATCCGAAGATGTGCTTTGAACTTAACAGCACTTTTTGGATCTACCTACCTGTGTGAGTCTGCTTTTTCACACATGAAAATCATCAAGTCCAAAAACAGATCCACAATGAATGATGATCATCTGGAGACCTGCCTGCGCCTCGCAACCACCTCATACTGCCCAGCTTATGAGACCCTGGCCTCCTCCTCTCAGTGTCAGAAGTCCCACTAAGGTAGAGACACATTTATTTTATACAGCTTGCATAAAAAGTTGTCTCCTATAGACACATCACGTTCTGTTTTATTTACTTTAAAGAAGTGAGGAGTAGGGATTGATGAAAAATTATGTTTGTTGATAATGAGACTGGACGAGTAGCTCTCGGCAAATTGCCGACTTCAAAAGTAGCTCTTGGTTCAAAAAAGGTTGGGCACCCCTGGTCTAAACCAACAGTTTTGGAGTTTTATTTGCCGGGGGGTGGGGGTGGGGGGTGGACAGATGCAAATCTGAGCCGTGCACGGTTTGTACCGAGAGTTTTCTAGTGGAGGGGGTGCGTTCAGCGTGAGGGTTCAACATTTCAACATGAAGGAAGAGGCTGCCTTGAGCTTTGTAGCTAATGCACCTGCATTGCGAGCTGCTAGTTTAGCGTTACGTCAGTGCCGACAGGTCGTTGGGGGTGGGGTTCGGTAGACGGGGCGCCCCGCTTGTATAATGGTAGGGGAAACACTGATATATATATATAAATTTTAATTAACCTTTATTTAACCAGGCAAATCCCATTGAGATCACTGATCGGGCTGAGATGGTGTAGGGGCAGGGCAGCCGACATGGGACCTGAAGGTCCTGGGCTCGATCCCCTGTCATTGCTCATCTCGTGGTGTCTGAGCAGGACACCTAATCCCGAATTGCTCCCTGGGCGCTTACATAGCTGCCCAATGCTTCACCTGGGTGTATCCCAGGTGTGATGGGTTAAATGCAGAGACAATTTTGTCTTTGTATGGGAACATACAATGATGACAACACACAGCACTTTATTATTATTTTTTGCAAGGAAGGCCTGGGCCTGAAGGCAGACTTAGGTCGTTTTCACACCAGATAGTCCGGTAGACTCGGTTCGGGACCAATATTCATGAGCTTTTGTTTACATTTGAGCTGGTGAGTTTGCATTCACACTGCACTGTGCAGTCGAGTCAACCTGTTGAATCAACCTATTCCCCCGCTCGCCTGTGGGGGCGCTGCACCAAGAACTACTGAAAGAAACGACACAAAAACCTCTGAAGACACGTCTTCTTCTTCTTCTTCTGTAAATAAAAATAAAAACGAAGTGGCATCAAGTTTTAGCAGTTTTAGGAGTTATATTTTGTCATTTTTCAAAAATGGACACTAGCATGAGCAGAAGATGAGGCAGAAGACCCTGGAGAATATTGTTTATCCACACAAGGCAGCTGACGGCTACATATAAGGTCAGAGCAATGCGTGTTTGTTTACCCTGCGGAGCGGGGCTCGGTCTGTTTACATTCACACTGTACTCGAACCGCACTGGAGTTTTCTTCTACCGGACCGAGACCTAGGTTTTAGCCCGGGCCAGAGTTCGCCTTTTTGTTCCGTGACAGAGTTCGATGGCGCGTTCACACCTCCCCAAACGAACCGGACTTTCTAGGAAAACGAGCTAGAGTTCGATTAAAGCGGACTAAACAGGGCTGGTGTAAATGCACCTTAACATGCATGTTTTTGGTCTAAGGGAGGAAACCGGAGTGCCTGGAGAAAGTCCACGCAAGCATGAGAAGAACATGCAAACTCCACAAAGAAAGACCCCAGGTCCAACTGAGGATTGAACCCAGGACATTCTTGCTGTGAGGCAACTGTGTTAACCACTGAGTCGTCGTGCTGCCATGGTGCTATTGATAAGACTGCGCTTGTTACAAGATCTCAGACTGAAGAAGTCTTTTGGATAAAAGATGAAACGTTTCAACAAACAAGAATCCGTCCAGCGGACCTGAATTAACCTGGTTAGATTTATCTACCTGGATTATTGCGCATGCATCAGGACATACAGTATAAACCCAATGACCAGCAAAATGACAACTAGGAAACAACCTGAATCTCAATCTAGTTGGACGTTTATGATGGCAATTGAAAAACAAGTTGCACCAAAATGCAAACTATGTTTTCAGATCACTATTTAAGTTTTTACCCTTCACTTTGATCTAAAAAGCCCAAACTACTAACAACCATGTGTTATTTTAATATTTGTTGTTTTCCCAGTTTTGGGCTGTAGCATAACAATATACAAATAAAATAAATTAAACTAAACCTCCAGCTGACACTTAAAATTTTTGCCTGCATATTATGGTACACAAAAAATAAAGCTTAAAGCTTTAGTCGCCACTGATTGGTTAAACCCGGCTCTCAAAGCGTCCCTTTAATTCAGCCCGAACCCGGAAGCCAAGTGCTAGCTAAAGAAACATGAGCTAAATCGACTGTGCTGCGAAACATAACACAGTTAGCTAATCAGATAGCATTGCCCTGCCACAAGTCCTTAAACTCATGATGCAAACATGACAACGATAAGTAATGCACGTAAATTAAAGGACATTTTGTGTAAAACTTTGTGCACTTCTTAAACGATGGTACTGCTGTAACTACATTAAGTCATTAAACCGGAGATGGGATGAGACTATGCTCTGTATCACAAAATGTATGGTGGCTACGTTGCAGTCTGCCCAGATCATGTTAGGCGTTTTGTTTAAAACGCACCGAAACAGCTCCAGGTTTTCCATTTGAATTATTCTCTTTTTTGAACGACTGAACTTAGTTATTTAACCAGCTACGGTGAAATCATACATCAAATCAATAATCATTAATAATGTCTATAACCGAGTATAGCCTACACCCGGCCATTAGCTTAAAGCCAAATTAGCTTAGCTAATGCACAAGTTTCTATTCTGCATTCAAGCGACGTCGACTTGTAGATACTACTTACGCCTTGGCCTTAGTTGAATCGGGTGTCGTCCTTCGTGTTGTAAATATACTGTAAAGAATCAAATCAAAATGGAAGCATAACAGAGAAAACATAGCACGCTAGCAAAAACCCTTGTAAGAACAAATCCTCCATTACCGCCTCTACGCATGCCCACGCAGCTGTTTACCACAACACGCATGAGACGCGTTCAACCAATCAGAGGTTTCTGTTTTTTTAAGAAAACTTTATTTATCAAAAACAAGTACAAACAAGTATGGCAATTCACAATAGTGTAAATCTAAAAAAGGAATACAACATGCGGGGTATATATATTTTAGGATTAGGATTAACATGCATTAGTGGGCAATTCCATTAACATTTCATACAGGTCTTCATATGTTTCAATATATTTCAGAGCTTTCAAATATCAGAATCAGAACCAGAACACGCTTTATTATCATTGTACCAGAATACAGTGAAATATAATTGGAATTCAGATTTAAAAAAAAGTTAAAAACTAGGGATGATCTTAGCACTCAGTTTATGAATAAAGAATTTTGCCAGACAAAATACCAAATTACAACTGAGTCCCATTTTTTTGTTTATCAATAATACTCCAAAGGTTACTATATCTCTGGAAATAGATTCAGGAAGTGCAATTTTCGGTGTGATCCACACCTGATCCACAACCAATCATAGGTCGGCAATGATCTCCATTTCCCCCTCTAAGCATGTCCACGCAGCTCACAATTTGTTTACCACAACACGCATGAGACACATTCATGCATTCAGAGGTCGGGAATGATGGCTCATTCTCTGGCTCAACCAACCAGAGGGCACAAATGATGGCTCATTCTGTGGCTAACCCTGATCCCATATCAACCCTTATTAATAAACATCCTGCAAATATAGTTACAGGTTTTATTCCTAAGCTTTCAACAAAGTGTATGATGAAGATGGTTATTAAAACTATGATTTAAAATGTTTACTAAAACTACAAACTATATTTAAAAAAGTTAAATATATTTATCCAGATGCATGCTGAATAATCCAGGTAGAAAAATCTAAAAAAGTTAAATCTGGTCCTCTGGACATTCAAAAAAAACAAAACAAAGCAAATCAACAAAAAAAAATGTAAAAACATTTTGTCTCTCATCCGAGAGACTTCCTCAGTCTGAGGTGCTGTATTCAGCTCAGTCTCTTAAATAACACATTCTCAGAGTGGATCAACCAGTTTTGCTGCTGACAACCAAAACCAGCTGATCACATGCTCAAGAAGGACCATCAGCCTAACAATGGATCATTAGCACACTGATGGCTGTTTACTGTTCACAGAGGGCTGAGTGATACTAGCAACCACAGCATTGTCTTGGGATCTAGCTGTTTTTTGTTTTGTTACCTTTTTCCTTTTAGCCATCCTATTTGTTAAAAAAAAAAAAAACAACAAAAAAAACTGTAGTATGAGTTTTTATAACTGCTTATTGTTGTTGCTGTTGTCCATTGTTGTCATCTTTCTTTGTTGAAATCAGGTCTCTCTTGTAAATGAGTCCTAGAGGCTCAATGGGATTTACCTGTATAAATAAAGGTTGATTGATTGTAAGAGGGGGACAGTTGAACCCGGAGGCCTCCACCCCTGTTTAACGATGGACATTTCTTTTCACAAAGATGGCCTCCTTTACTCCTCTCTCAAACCATCGTTCCTCTCTGTCCAGGATGTGAACATCTTCATCCCTGAAAGAGTGACCGCTGGCCTGGAGATGAGTGTAGACCGCAGAGTCCTGGCCTGATGATGTTGATCTTCTGTGCTGGGCCATCCTTTTGGCCAGTGGCTGTTTAGTTTCCCCGATGTAAGACTGATCACCCTCCTGACACTGAACAGCATACACAATATTACTCTGTTTGTGCTGGGGGACTGGATCTTTGGGATGAACCAGTCTTTGCCGTAATGTATTTTGGGGTTTAAAAGCCACTGGGACGTTATGTTTAGAAAATAAACGTCTCAGTTTCTCTGATACTCTCTCAACATATGGAATGACCACTGGTCTGGGTCTGGGTTCCTCCTTTTCACCTGTTGGCTGACTGGAGTCCTGTTTGGGTTTCTTCTCTGCTTTCAGTAAGGCCCAGTTAGGATATCCACATTGCTCTAGAGCCTGTCTTGTGTGGGATTTCTCCTTCTGCCTGGCTCCCGAGTTAGTGGGGACGCTGTCTGCTCTGTGATACAGAGTCCTGATGACTCCTAACTTGTGCTCCAAAGGGTGATGGGAGTCAAACTGCAAATACTGGTCTGTGTGGGTGGGTTTGCGGTACACCTCGGTTTGCAAATGTCCTCTATCAGAGACTGAGATCTCACAGTCCAAGAAAGCCAACCTGCCATTTTTTACATCTTCTCGTGTGAACTTGATGTATTTATCCACAGAGTTGATGTGGTCAGTAAAATGTTGGACTTCCTGAGATTTAATTTTAACCCAGGTGTTGTCAACATACCTGAACTAATGACTTGGTGGTGTCCCTGAAAAGGACGTCAAGGCTCTCTTTTCTACCTCCTCCATGTACAGGTTGGCAACAATAGGAGAAACTGGAGACCCCATAGCACACCCATGTTTCTGCCTATAATATTGCTCCCCATACGTGAAGTAGGTTGACTGCAGGCACAGTTTCAAGAGTTGACACAGTTGTTCTGTAGAAAGCGTGGTCCTGCTGCTCAGAGTGGTGTCTGATTTTAATCTTAAACTGACCACCTCTACTGCATCATCAACAGGAATGCACGTAAAGAGTGATGTGACATCAAAAGAGACCATTGTTTCATCAGTCTCCATGATGACATCCCTCACCTTATCCACAAAGTCCATGGTGTTCTGTATGTGGTGTTCTGAGCTGCCAACTAAAGGGATGAGTACAGACGCCAGATATTTGGAAACATTGTAAGTGACAGAGTTAATCATGCTAACAATTGGTCTTAAAGGTACACCTTGTTTGTGGATTTTAGGTAAACCATACAGACTAGGTGTGGCCTCCCCTGGGTACAGTCTGTGGTACAGAATACGGTCAATAGCCTTGTCCTGCTCCAAAATTTTCAGGCAATCTATTAACTTCTTCTTGTAACCACTTCCTGGATCTCTTTTCAGAGGTTCATAAGAGGTTAAGTCACTAAGGAGTGTCATAACTTTCTCATGATAGTCTTTCTGGTTCAAAATCACTGTGCACCTTCCTTTGTCTGCTGGGAGAATGATGATGTTTTTGTCCTTGCTAAGAGTGGTGAGTGCATCCCTCTCCTCTCTACTGATGTTGGAAGGTGGTGGTTTGGCATTGCTGAGGCAGGATGAAACTTTGATTCTGAGCTGTTCTGCTTCAGCCTCTTTAATTTTGTTGTTGCGGATGGGTGACTCAGTAGCTGTGATCATCTCCACCAGAGGAATTCTACTTGGTGCAACCGCAAAGTTCAGTCCCCTGGCAAGAATCTCTGTCTCCGGCTGGGTGAGCTGTCTGTCAGATAAATTCTTCACCCACTTTTCTGTCTCCCTGGCATGTAATTGACTGCTGGAGTGTTGTCCTACACTGAATGTGTTGTTATTGGAATAGTGATGGTGTTGATGAGTTATTAGTAAGTTAAACTTGTTTTGTTGTCGAGTCTTGGACTTGACATGCTGTGCTAAGCGTGCCTGATCTGTACAGTCCAACACTTGCTGAAGTGTGGTCTGATCTAGACACGTTGTTAGTTTCTGTTTAATGTGATCTTCTTTGGCCCTCAAGGCCTCAATAGTAAAATTGGTCTGTCTCACCCGTTCATTCAGCAGCTGGGTCTGTGCCTTCTGAAGGATCTTGCTTGCCCGGTGCCCGCTGACCGATGATTTTAGTTCCAGCCTCTTGGGAATGATGCCACTTTGTAGGAATGCGCGATATATACGGTTTACTGAAGAAACAATAGCAATTTAGCCTACGATATAGATCTGTCTTCTACCGACTAACCGCAGTAATGCTGTGTCTGATGTAAAATCAGAGTTTTCAGTTTAATCGTTACTTTTTTTTTGTTCTTTTTTGTTTTTTGTTCACTCTTTCAGAGATGAAGATGTTCACATCCTAGACGAACGATGGTTTGAGAGAGGAGTAAAGGAGGCCATCTTTGTGAAAAGAAATTGTCCATCATTAAACAGGGTTGGAGGCCTCCGGGTTCAACTGTCCCCCTCTTACAATGCTGTGATTGCTAGTATCACTCAGCCCTCTGTGAATAGTAAACAGCCATCAGTGTGCTAATGATCCATTGTTAGGCTGATGGTCCTTCTTGATCATGTGAGCAGCTGGTTTTGGTTGTCAGCAGCAAAACTGGTTGATCCAGTCCGAGAAGGTGATATTTAATGGTAGTCATTGTTCAGGCCAACAAGTTGTGGTCCTTTTAAAAGACAGGCACAGGCAGATTGGTGTCACCTGGTGATGAGCGGCTGAGATCACGTAGGAGCTGTGCAGCGTAAGTAAATGACAAAATTCAGGTAAACCAAACAAATTAAATTAAAATAAATTTAACTCAGGTAAAACAATCGAATACATTAATATTTTTCATAAAAATTTTGTTATTACTAACCTGTGCTTTTTTGTTTCAATAAAACAAACTGGACGAGGAGACGGACAGTCTTGAGAGCTACCTGGACGCGTGCTTTGAGAATATAGTGATGGGTAAACCTCAGAACACCGCGCCCACAGCTACTCCAACATCCAAACGCACGCGTTCAGAGAGCTCAAGCGGCGCGTCCACATCTCCTGAGAAAAGCTTCACCGATGTTCTGGAGTCCATCGACAAAAAGTTAACAAGTTTAGATGCCCGACTGGCTCTCGTTGAAGCTCTCCACAAAGAATTTCAAGCGTTGAGGGAATCTCTGGAGTTCAGCCAAGCTCAGGTGGCGTCGCTAGCTGCAGAAAACCAATCTCTGAGGGGAGACGTTAAAGATCTCACAGAGAGGATGACGCAGATATCCGGAGAAAACAGGAAAATGAAAGAGTCCGTCCTGGACCTTCAAGCTCGGAGTATGCGGGATAATCTTGTCCTCTGGGATCCCTGAACGAGGAGAGGAGGACGCAGAAGCGACGATCCGTGAGTTTATCCAACGTGAGCTGAAACTCCCAAGTGAGACCGTAAAAACGTTCACTTTCCATCGTGTTCACCGGCTCG